CCCAATCTTTTCCATGCTCTACACCCCAAAGAAACATTTAATTAATGTTCAGACCCCAACAAAAGTGATATCACATTTGAAGCTCCATCTCCTTCCTTACCCAAGGCCTGAAAGCCTCATTTCACTTGACCTACATCCAAAGCTGACTTTTCAACTATGAGGGAGAGCGGTGGGCTGAATCCTCCACCATTAGCTAGCTTCTCCAGATACCCATGGGCTGGTCTCGTTTGGTGGTTCCCAATCTTTTCCCTGCTCTACGCCTACAGGAAACATTTAATTAATGTTTATACCCCTACAAAAGTTATATCACATTTGAAGCTCCACCTCCTTCCTTACCCAAGGCCTTAAAGCCTAATTTCACTTGATCTTCATCCAAAGCTGACTTTTCAGTTATGAGGAACACTGATGAGCAGTGCCAGATTTAACTCTGTGGAGGCCCCTAGACAGTTGAAACCTTGGGGTCCCGCTCGCAAATGATCTCCTAATATGTTTTTTAGCTTTGCTAACCCAATATTCTACTAGGATCTGATGACAGCAAGAACTTGCAACACACAAACTCAAAGAAGGCTTAATTTCTGGAGGATTCTGGTGCATGCGCTCTAGTGGGAGAACATCGAAGTAAGTAGTGTGTACGTCGGTTGCTAGATGGAGATGAGGATCACTATTAGAGATGAGCGAATCGAACCTGGCGAAGTGGAATTCGTTTCGAATATCAGGAAAAATTCAATTCGCATCGAATCCGAATTTTAGCAAACTTCGGGTGCACGAATCGAATTTTTCCCGATCAGCCGGCAAAAGTGTCACTGCAGAGAGCTCCGCTATTTCTGACAGTTCTGACAGTTCATTTACAGCGGTTGAAACATTGTATCTATTTGTTTCCATTTAGGATACAGATGTTTTTATTCGGAAATAAATAGATACAATGTTTCAACCGCTGTAAATGTGAAGGAACTGTCAGAGAACTGTCAGAAATAGAGGAGCTCTCTGCAGATACACTTTTTGCTGTACTTTAATTCTTCTTCTTTTCATTCTTCTTCTTCTTTTCATTCTTCTTCTTCTTCTTTTCATTCTTCTTCTTCTTCTTTTCATTCTTCTTCTTCTTCTTTTCATTCTTCTTTTCATTCTTCTTCTTCTTCTTTTCATTCTTCTTCTTCTTTTCATTCTTCTTTTCATTCTTCTTCTTCTTCTTTTCATTCTTCTTCTTCTTCTTTTCATTCTTCTTCTTCTTCTTTTCATTCTTCTTTTCATTCTTCTTCTTCTTCTTTTCATTCTTCTTTTCATTCTTCTTCTTCTTCTTTTCATTCTTCTTTTCATTCTTCTTCTTCTTCTTTTCATTCTTCTTCTTCATTTCATTCTTCTTTTCATTTTTCTTCTTCTTCTTTTCATTCTTCTTTTCATTCTTCTTCTTCTACTTCTTTTCATTCTTCTTTTCATTCTTCTTCTTCTTCTTTTCATTCTTCTTCTTCTTCTTTTCATTCTTCTTCTTCTTCTTTTCATTCTTCTCATTCTTCTTTTCATTCTTCTTTTCATTCTTCTTCTCATTCTTCTTTTCATTCTTCTTCTTCTTCTTTTCATTCTTCTTTTCATTCTTCTTCTTTTCATTCTTCTTCTTCTTTTCATTCTTCTTTTCATTCTTCTTCTTCTTCTTTTCATTCTTCTTCTTCTTCTTTTCATTCTTCTTTTCATTCTTCTTCTTCTTCTTCTTCGTCGTGCCCCGTGACTGGCCAAATGAGTGAAGTGTGCGGTGATTCTAAGATGGACGGCACTCATCTGCATGTCATACTGACTGACAGTATTATTTCTCTTCCCCAGCAGACTCCAAGGGCATTTAAATTAAAGGTACAGTGTTCTGCACTAATATAAAGGCTCTCTGAAGCCTAGAAACCCTTTTAATAAGTTAAATTTGCGGCGAATAAATTCGCATCAAATCGAATTTCTCCCGCAAATTCGGCGAATCAGCCGAATCGAATTTTTGAATAATTCGCTCATCTCTAATCACTATTCTAGATTACACCCACGTAGATTGCATCAAATTTTTTTACAAGTTGGCAGCTAAAAAAAGAATAGGCTTTTAAGAGGCACACTATAATGTGACCTGCATGTCTATGGTTTATGGACTTTGAGTTGTTATTGGTTACATTACATTTAGGGATGCACTGATACCAATTTTTTTACCAGCATCTGGTAAAGTTCCAATACTTTCGGTCAAGTACTTGCTGATACTGAGTACCGATACCCTTGCTGTGCGACTTGAGACTGTACAAAATGAATGGGCTCAAATCGCACTGCGAAGAATTGCATGCGGTTTTAACAGGAATGCAGTGCAATACCCATCCGAATCACGTGCAGTTTCCCGCACAGCTCCCGTGTGAACCCAGGCTTGCCATAGTGACTTCAGCAAGAGTTCACACAGAAGCGGTGCGGGGAAACCTTCCTGCATGACGGGTTCCACCAGCGAAGCTCCGGCTACCAATCCGACTGTGGACATCAGAGGCTGTAGCTTGAGCGGATTGGTCTGTCAGACATCGAAAAGATGCCTCACCAGTCCGGGGATTTGAAACCTCCATGGCTTTCTCTCCTCTCCTTGGTTTGCTGAAAGTATGGACTACAAGGATTCTAATTGACCAGCACCGTCACATGGACAGCGCTGACCAATCAGGAGCTGTCTAGCCTGTACTCTCAGCACTGCGAGGAGAGAAGGCCATGGGGGTTTATAATCCATGAACCGGTGAAGCGGAGGATTCTCCCCTTGTCTGTATCAGTGATCTCCAAACTGAAATCAGCAGACTGGATGTGGCCCTTTGCTTGCCTTTATCCAACACTTAGGACCACTATTCATCGATATCCACAATGGGTCATTATTCTCCATTGACATCAGTGATAGGGCACTATTCCTCCCACTGACACCAATGATAGGGCACTATTCCTCCCACTGACACCAATGATAGGGCACTATTCCTCACACTGACACCAATGATGGGGCACTATTCCTCCCGCTGATACCAATGATGGGGCACTATTCCTCCCACTGATACCAATGATGGGGCACTATTCCTCCCACTGACACCAATGATGGGGCACTATTCCTCCCACTGACACCAATGATGGGGCACTATTCCTCCCACTGACACCAATGATGGGGCACTATTCCTCCCACTGATACCAATGATGGGGCACTATTCGTCCCACTGATACCAATGATGGGGCACTATTCCTCCCACTGACACCAATGATGGGGCACTATTCCTCCCACTGATACCAATGATGGGACACTATTCCTCCCACTGACACCAATGATGGGGCACTATTCCCCCCACTCACACCAATGAGGGGGCACTATTCCTCCCACTGACACCAATGATGGGACACTATTCCTTCCACTAACACCAATGATGGGGCACTATTCCTCCCACTGACGCCAATGATGGGGCACTATTCCTCCCACTGACACCAATGATGGGACACTATTCCTCCTACTGATACCAATGATGGGGCACTATTCCTCCCACTGACACCAATGATGGGGCACTATTCCTCCCACTGACACCAATGATGGGGCACTATTCCTCCCACAGACACCAATGATGGGGCACTATTCCTCCCACTGACACCAATGATGGGACACTATTCCTCCCACTGATACCAATGATGGGATGCTATTCCTCCCACTGTCACCGATGAGAGGGCACTATTCCTCCCACTGACACCAATGATGGGACACTATTCCTCCCACTGACACAAATGATGGGACACTATTCCTCCCATTGACACCAATGATGGGACACTATTCCTCCCACTGACACCAATGATGGGACAATATTCCTCCCACTGATACCAATGATGGGGCACTATTCCTCCCACTGACACCAATGATGGGGCACTATTCCTCCCACTGACACCAATGATGGGGCACTATTCCTCCCACTGACACCAATGATGGGGCACTATTCCTCCCACTGATACCAATGATGGGGCACTATTCCTCCAACTGACACCAATGATGGGGCACTATTCCTCCCACTGATACCAATGATGGGGCACTATTCCTCCCACTGACACCAATGATGGGGCACTATTCCTCCCACTGACACCAATGATGGGGCACTATTCCTCCCACTGACACCAATGATGGGGCACTATTCCTCCTACTGATACCAATGATGGGGCACTATTCATCCCACTGATATCAATGATGGCGCACTATTCCTCCCACTGACACCAATGATGGGGCACTATTCCTCCCACTGACGCCAATGATGGGGCACTATTCCTCCCACTGACACCAATGATGGGACACTATTCCTCCCACTGATACCAATGATGGGATGCTATTCCTCCCACTGTCACCGATGAGAGGGCACTATTCCTCCCACTGACACCAATGATGGGACACTATTCCTCCCACTGACACACAAATGATGGGACACTATTCCTCCCATTGACACCAATGATGGGACACTATTCCTCCCACTGACACAATGATGGGACAATATTCCTCCCACTGATACCAATGATGGGGCACTATTCCTCCCACTGACACCAATGATGGGGCACTATTCCTCCCACTGACACCAATGATGGGGCACTATTCCTCCCACTGACACCAATGATGGGGCACTATTCCTCCCACTGATACCAATGATGGGGCACTATTCCTCCAACTGACACCAATGATGGGGCACTATTCCTCCCACTGATACCAATGATGGGGCACTATTCCTCCCACTGACACCAATGATGGGGCACTATTCCTCCCACTCACCAATGATGGGGCACTATTCCTCCCACTGACACCAATGATGGGGCACTATTCCTCCTACTGATACCAATGATGGGGCACTATTCATCCCACTGATATCAATGATGGCGCACTATTCCTCCCACTGACACCAATGATGGGGCACTATTCCTCCCACTGACACCAATGATGGGACACTATTCCTCCTACTGATACCAATGATGGGGACAATATTCCTCCCACTGACACCAATGATAGGACACTATTCCTCCCACTGATACCAATGATGGGGCACTATTCCTCCCACTGATACAAATGATGGAGCACTATTCCTCCCACTGACACCAATGATGGGGCACTATTCCTCCCACTGACACCAATGATGGGGCACTATTCCTCCCACTGACACCAATGATGGGGCACTATTCCTCCTATTGACACCAATGATGGGGCACTATTCCTCCCACTGACACCAATGATGGGGCACTATTCCTCCCACGACACCAATGATGGGGCACTATTCCTCCCACTGACACCAATGATGGGACACTATTCCTCCTACTGATACCAATGATGGGACAATATTCCTCCCACTGACACCAATGATAGGACACTATTCCTCCTACTGACACCAATGATGGGACACTATTCCTCCCCACTGACACCAATGATGGGACACTATTCCTCCTACTGACCACAGGTCTAATGTTTTTTATTCCCACTGATTTCCAAGCCTGAGGCATGGTTTACTTCCACTGATAATGGGGCTTTTCTTCTCCCAATAGCCACTGTTTGACCCCTCTGCTTTCTGAAGGACAGTAAACTGGCCCTTTGATTAGTTCAGACCAAGTCTGGAGACCCCTGGTCTATATGAAGGAGGTCTCAACCCCCCTCCCCCTCCCCCCCACTTTTTAATGTCAAAGTCTATCTTGCTCACCCAGTGACTGAAGTCCTGTAGCAACAGTTGGTGGAAAGGCCCTCCAGTTGGATGGGAACAAAGTCAAGCATAAATGGCGGAGATGTTTCATAACGGCTGTCCTTAGGTGGTTAGCTAAGACTCCGCCCATAAGTGAAATAGCTCCTCTGTAACGGGCAGGTAAAATATTGAGAATTTACCCTTCTTTGCTGTTAGCGGAAATCCCTTTACATCGAATCCGGTAATTGAATTCCATCATTAATGCAATAAACCAACATCCGGCGCGGAATGCGGCCGATAACACGGAACGACCGCCATTACCTTGTTATAACGGCCGTGCAATTAGACAGAAATAAACGCCATCATTTACTCGGTAAGTGACAGGTCACCGGCGGGCACACCTACGCCACGTCTGCCCTCCAGCCGCGGCTCCCTACAGGTATTCGCATTCCCCGCTCCTCAGCCCTGTCACTGGAGCTTAGAAAAGTAATTATGTTTATTCAGTATTTGGCCAAAGCTAATGAACCAATGATAAACAGCTCAGCACTTTATATTCTACGAATAAATGAATATTAATCAGCTTGTCATCAACCCATACATAATGGAAGTAGTTTGTGAGGATTCCCGCCGTGAGATAATGCAGAAGGAGAGCCAGGTATGGAGATTTCCCACCTAGGAATATTGAAAGTGTATCTAAAGATCCCTGCGGCGCGGCATGACAACGCGCAAGTTACGGCAATGCGCATTACCTGTGTTGGCTTATTGTGGTGTCATCATTTTGAAGGGTCCGATGTATTACGGTAATGTAGTCCCAACACATGGGAATGCACTGCTGTTCATTGTGCTGATGGCAGGACCAGGCTCTGAACCCATGACCTCTGCTGCATCTGGCAGTATCCCTTCCTGTAGGACAGCTCCAAATCTGGTTCCTTAGACAACCTTGTGTAGCGCCCCCAGGGCTGTGGATAAGGTTGTACCACCAGTCCTCCTGTAGGACCCAGGGAGTCCAGGCAGCTGGGTGATTGGCACGGCGGGGGTGCAATTACTGAAACCCATCCACTGTATGGCTCTGAAAGTTGGCGTCTTCTCCTCTCCCTCCTATTGACTCTCAGCTGTTGCAGAGAGAGCCATACAAGAGATCGGTTCCAGTAATTGCCCCCCCCCCCCCCCCGCCACACCCATCACCCTCCCTGTGCACCATATATTTTTATGTCAGGTAATTATGTAGCACCATCAATTTACGCAGCGCTTTATATATTGTACATTCACATCAGTCCCTGACCCTCAAGGGGCGTACAATCTAAGGTCCCTAACTCACATTCATACATACACATACTAGGGCCAATTTAGACAGGATCCAATTCACCTCCCAGCATGTCTTTTGGAGTGTAGGAGGAAACCGGAGTACCCAGAGGAAACCCACGCAGGCACAGGGAGAACATGCAAACTCCAGGCAGATGGTGCCGTGGCTGGGATTCGAACCAACGACCCGAGTACTGCCAGGCAGAAGTGCTAACTATTTAGCCACTGTGCTGCCCATATGTTTCCCCCTGCTGCCCAGACCCCCCTGTGTTCCCCCACCCCCACAGTGCTGCTGGCTTCCCTCCTTTCCTTCCCACTGGCAGCTGCCCAAACACAATAGGATCCTTCAGGATGGAGAGTGGAGGAAGGGTCCAGGATATGCGTTACATTTACCAGCCACTTCCTTTCCTGAATGAACACAATGGGTAATCAGTACCAATCATTGTGTTCATTCATAACTGAAAACATAGTAAACTGTGTTTTTTTTTGGGGGGGGGCTGTCAGGTTGGCTGTATGGGGCCCCGTGGTGTCTAACAGCAGCCCTGAGCGCCCCTCTAGATAGCCAGGGGAGCTAGTTGGCAACTGTTAGTTAGAAAGACTGAGCAGCAGTCTGGGGAAATAGTCATCAGGGTTCAGCTTCAGGGCTGAGAGGCTCTGCAGATCAATTCCCTGATATCTACTCCTGCTCCAGAATCTTGGAGAAGATTCTAGAAGCAGTGGGCGGGGGTTGAGGAGGGGCTGGATTTGCACTCTCAGAGGAATCTGGCCAATCCCCAAGCAGGAAGCTTGACATGGGGCCAGGGCAGCCTGCTCAGCAAAAGAAAGAGAGAGCTCGGGTGGAAGATGGAGTGAGAGACAGAGATGTAGGAGCCTGGAAGGGGCCCAATGGGAAGGGACCTACCTACAGACAGAGTTGCTGAACAGTTGGATCTTGCAGCCTCACCATTCCTGGACTGGATCCAATCCTTGCTTTCCAGCCCCAAGTCCAATCACTGACAAATTCATGTAGACTCCACCTCCGCAGCATCTCCAAAATACGAACGTTCCTAACCCCAGAAACTACTAAGCAACTCATCCACTCCCTTATTATATCACGACTCGATTACTGCAACTCCCTCCTCACCAGCCTACCTCAACATAGGGAAGCCTACCCCGCCCTCACCCAACTGCCGATCTCCTCCGCTCTCCCCACCACTCCATCCCCCACAGCTATCTCCTCCTGTACCACTATCCCCTCCCTCCTAGATTGTAAGCTCCAAGGAGCAGGGCCCTCGATCCCCTCATGTATTGTATTGTTACTGTATTGTCTCGTGTACTGTCCCCCATTGTAATGTACAGCGCTGAGCAAACTGTTGGCGCTATATAAATACTGTATAATAATAATACTACAGGAGTGATCTACAAGGAGCTGTCATGGCATTCACAAGAACTTCGTGTCTATTGGAGTGGATCCAATCCTTGCTTACAGGAGTGATCTGCAAGAAAGGTTACGGCAGTAAGAAGGTCTTGCATGTGTGTGGGAGTAGATCAGATCCTTGCATACAGGAGTGATCTACAAAGAGCTGAAATGGAATTCACAAGGACTTGTGTGTCTATTGAAGTGGATCCAATCCGTGCTTACAGGAGTGATCTACAAGGAGCTCTTATGGCATTCGCAAGAACTTTGTGTCTATTGGAGTGGATCCAATCCTTGCTTACAGGAGTGATCTACAAGGAGCTGTCATGGCATTCACAAGGACTTGTGTGTCTTTTGGAGTGGATCCAATCCTTGCTTACAGGAGTGATCTACAAGGAGCTCTTATGGCATTCGCAAGAACTTCGTGTCTATTGGAGTGGATCCAATCCTTGCTTACAGGAGTGATCTACAAGGAGCTGTCATGGCATTCACAAGAACTTCGTGTCTATTGGAGTGGATCCAATCCTTGCTTACAGGAGTGATCTGCAAGAAAGGTTACGGCAGTAAGAAGGTCTTGCATGTGTGTGGGAGTAGATCAGATCCTTGCTTACAGGAGTGATCTACAAAGAGCTGAAATGGAATTTACAAGGACTTGTGTGTCTATTGAAGTGAATCCAATCCGTGCTTACAGGAGTGATCTACAAGGAGCTCTTATGGCATTCGCAAGAACTTCGTGTCTATTGGAGTGGATCCAATCCTTGCTTACAGGAGTGATCTACAAGGAGCTGTCATGGCATTCACAAGGACTTGTGTGTCTATTGAAGTGGATCCAATCCATGCTTACAGGAGTGATCTACAAAGAGCTGAAATGGAATTCACAAGGACTTGTGTGTCTATTGAAGTGGATCCAATCCGTGCTTACAGGAGTGATCTACAAGGAGCTCTTATGGCATTCGCAAGAACTTCGTGTCTATTGGAGTGGATCCAATCCTTGCTTACAGGAGTGATCTACAAGGAGCTGTCATGGCATTCACAAGGACTTGTGTGTCTTTTGGAGTGGATCCAATCCTTGCTTACAGGAGTGATCTACAAGGAGCTGTCATGGCATTCACAAGAACTTCGTGTCTATTGGAGTGGATCCAATCCTTGCTTACAGGAGTGATCTGCAAGAAAGGTTACGGCAGTAAGAAGGTCTTGCATGTGTGTGGGAGTAGATCAGATCCTTGCATACAGGAGTGATCTACAAAGAGCTGAAATGGAATTCACAAGGACTTGTGTGTCTATTGAAGTGGATCCAATCCGTGCTTACAGGAGTGATCTACAAGGAGCTCTTATGGCATTCGCAAGAACTTCGTGTCTATTGGAGTGGATCCAATCCTTGCTTACAGGAGTGATCTACAAGGAGCTGTCATGGCATTCACAAGGACTTGTGTGTCTATTGAAGTGGATCCAATCCATGCTTACAGGAGTGATCTACAAGGAGCTGTCATGGCATTCACAAGAACTTCGTGTCTATTGGAGTGGATCCAATCCTTGCTTACAGGAGTGATCTGCAAGAAAGGTTACGGCAGTAAGAAGGTCTTGCATGTGTGTGGGAGTAGATCAGATCCTTGCTTACAGGAGTGATCTACAAAGAGCTGAAATGGAATTTACAAGGACTTGTGTGTCTATTGAAGTGAATCCAATCCGTGCTTACAGGAGTGATCTACAAGGAGCTCTTATGGCATTCGCAAGAACTTCGTGTCTATTGGAGTGGATCCAATCCTTGCTTACAGGAGTGATCTACAAGGAGCTGAAATGGCTGTAAGAAGGCCTTGCATGTGTACCGGAGTGGGTTCCATCCAGGCCTATGGTTGTAATATACAAGGAGCATTTACGGCAGTAAGAACTGATGGGTGGGCAAGTGTTCTGCTTCTTTTTCCTAAAACATCTCCGCATTGGTGCCTGGACATGGTGGCCAGCCAGCAGAAAGAGTAAGAAGGATGGTTTTCTTTCCATTGCAGGGCCCCGCTAAGTCAAGACAACCACCGGTCATATGGGGGTGCTACCCCACATGGTTACAAGGTATTACTTTAATACAAGATGTACAAAATATTGAAAATAAATGGATATAATAATTGTGCTGAGTGACAATTCACAGGAAATGTTTTTTTTCCATGTTCAAAAATCACGTAATAATTCTACGCACTCTTGTGGTTCCATTCGTTGCTAATGGCATGCCAAACACAAACATGCAAGACGCATGTTTTTTGCACATGTACAGGAATGCATGACTTGGAA